AACACACCACTCTCACCAAAAGACAGATTTACCAGACTGAAACTTAACAAAGAAATAAAGGACCTAACAGATGTTATGACTCAAATTGACTTAATAGATTATCTACAGAAAATTCCATCCTAACACAAAAGAATATACCTTCTTCTCAGTACCCCATGGGACGGTCTCAAAAACTGACCACATGCTTGGTCACAAAACAAATCTCAACAGATACAAAAAAATTGGAATAACCTCCTGTATCTTATCAAACCACCATGCATTAAAGTTAGACTTCAACAACAACAAAAATTATAGAAAGCCTACAATCTTATGGAAACTGAATAATACCCACCTGAAACATCAATGGGTCAAAGAAAAAATAAAGAAAGAAAGAAACTAAAGATTTCCTAGAATTCAATGAAAATGAAAGTACAACATACTCAAACTTATGGGACACTATGAAAGCAGTGCTAAGAGGAAAATTTATGGCTCTAAATGCACACATAAAGAAGATGGAGAAATCTCACACCAATGAATTAACAGCACAACTGAAAGCTTTAGAACAAAAAGAAACAAACTCACCCAGGAGAAATAGATGCCAGGAAATAATCAAATGGAGGGCTGAGGTCTACTTTAGATATAGTATATTTTCCCTCATTAAAATTATTATTTATTTTTAGTGTGTGTGGATATTTTGCCTGTATGAATGTCATGAACCACATGTATGTCTAGTGTAGGCAGATGCCAGAAGAAGATGTGGACTCTCTTGGAACCTGAGCTATGGATGCTGTGAGCTGCCACAGAGGCACTGGGATTGGGCCTGGATACTTAGGAAGAGCAGCAAGTGCTCTTACCTGCCTCACTTTCTCTCATTTTAATGGTGGAGGCCTAGCTCTATGTTCAGCCTTCTCTCTTGTACAAAATGAAGGTTCAAAGCTCTAGGTTTCCTCTTTACATGGCTATGGACTCTACTCACATGGTTTTCTGTGCAGGGCTTTCGTTATTTCATGTTATAATGTATGTTTTACTTGTAATCATTCACTTTTCTTCAGTTCTTGTCTTATTTAGAAACATACCACCTAATTTCAGGACAAGTGAAATTATTTTGTTTCATTTGGGGAAGGACTTGGTATCTCAACTACATGAAGACTAGAAAAATGTGTCACATATGACGCTAAGGATTTGAGTAAATCAGTCTGAGTTATGTCTTAGCACATAGTATTTACATAGCTTCTATGTGTACTTACAGGAAGTATGTATTTTGTGGTATTCTGTATATGCTTATTAAAATAATTTATCTACATATTGATGCCTTTATACATCAGCAATTAAGATAAGTATATAAAATATTCAACTAGGAGAGTAAAATTGTTTTCCTTTGAAGTTGTTAAACTTTTCCTTTGTATATTTTGATAAGTTTATATAATCTAGAAGTTTTACCTTCCCAGTAGGTTTTGTTTTTAATCCTAAAATAGATACTAGCTAATTCTCCTCTATACCATTGACTTCACCACTTCCCAAAGTCAGGTGTATGACACTGAACACACTTTCTGGGACTTAGTTTTCTTTCTTTGTTGCCTTCATCGGGCAACATTTACAACTGTGGTCTTTCAAAAAATCAGATTTACTTTATTTATTTTATGTGTATGTATTTTTGTCTGCATACCGTGTGTGTGCCTGGTGCACACAGAAGTCATAAGAGGGCATTGGATTCCCAGGAGCCTGAGGTACAGCTGACTGTGAGCTGCCATCTGGGTGCTGAGAATTGGGCCTGGGTTATCTGGGAGAGCAGCAAGTGCTCTTGACCACTGAAGCCATCTCTCCAGTCCGCTAGGTACAATTGTGATATTTGACTTATTTGACTTTTTTTTTTGCCTTTATGGGCTTCAGGATATTTCAGAAGTAACACTGATTTGCAAAAAGTGATGAAATTACAGCACAATGAAGATAATTACTATAACTTCCTCCCTGTAAGCACTGACAAATATAGATAATATTTAAGTGGTGGGAATCAATATCTCGCTTAGTTTTATTAGGTTTACATAGGGATATCTCATGCACAGATAAAGGAATAGAGCAAGAAATCTCTAATGACTTCCAGGAACTAAACAAAAATATATGGGAGCAACTTTTAAAATGGAGTGCAGGTTCCTATTATGATACACAATGCTGGGAGATTATTTTCTTCCAGATCTTTCTCCTTTGATGGAGACCCTAGTGCTTGGGTACCATGTGATCTCACTTCTGGCCTGTCAAGGAATGGAGGTTGCAGACCATTGAATCAAATGTGGTCAAGGGAATATGGAAGTGGGATTCAACATTAGGTAATGCTTCTTGAACTGGGAAGGCAAATGAACGTTAAGAATGAGGCTGACTTTCTGGTCTAGCTATCCTGTCCTATGAGAAAAGCAACAGCCATTTTCAGATGAAAGAAGGGGGCAGAGTTTACAGAGGTGGAACGTGCCATTCTGGGGAGAGAGGCGATCTGAGGTTCTCAGTATTGGCAGGAATATGCTTCTGGTCAGCCATTCCCAGTGTCTCTTTGGGTTATTACAGATACTCCTGGGCCCTTGAAGGAGACTCCCCTTTCTGATTATGGTCACTTTGAGCAGGTTTTTGTCCTTGCTGGTCTAAAATGCCATTTCATACATCAGCAAGATAGCAGTGGCATAGTCTGAGCCCATCCCCAGGCTGTGGTTTGTAGTATCTGAAGCCTTTGAAGGGGTCCTGTCTAGGGAGAGGCCTTAAATACTGGCCGACAGGTGGGTTTAACACATACCATGCTGTACCCCCATAAAAATCATGAGGAATGTCAGTACAAATTGTATGGGTGCTGGACGGGTTTATTGAGTCTTCAGGAGGCTAATCAACTCTCAGAGAACATTCTCATAGTTAGGTATAGCAATGGTCGGAGCCCACATTTTATTTATGTGATGATCAAATCCACAGGGAATTCTAATATGTTTCCTCTGACGTTCCACAGAAGGATAGCTGTATAATCCAGAGTATGTTAGCACTGTAGCATTTCCGTGAGTAGAAAGGCTGGCTTGGTCCTGGTGTAAACAAAAGTCTGGATCAGTGGCTATCCTGGGACTCTTTGGGGACTATGCAGGAGTGTCACATAATTTCCAAGGTACATACTAACTTCAAGATCTCTCTCTCTTTTTCTCCTCTCTCCTCTTACTGTCTCTTTGTCTGTGTCTGTCTGTCTGTCTCTGTCTCTCTCTCTTTCTCCACTTCAGAGGTCTGGAAACTTACAGTTACATTAGGTTCTTACCTTGTGGATACTATTCTTTGAATGCTAAGAAGTAAGTATTTGAGCGACAGGGAATCAATAGGTGTGATTGGCAGTCTCCTTTCATTTAGCCGTCCATGATTTTTGTGCTTTCTTTTGAACATGTGGAGTTTATTCTACACCCAACTGGCCCAAGAAAGACAGGATTCTATGTTTAAACATAGAACCTGAGCCAAATGCTTGGATTAACCCAGACAAAGGCTTTGGGACCTTTCTCCGTGTCTCAGTTTCCAAAAGTAGGACTCAGAGTAGAGCCTGGAGATTCTACTAAGATTGCTTCCAGGAATTTATGAACTAATACATCTGAAGCATTCGCTATCAAGTGTCCGCTGTGATGAACAACCCACCATGATTGGTACCATCTGTGGTCATACTTTAGAGATTCCTGTTAGATTCCTCAGCACTGACTTGGGGTGAACAGCATCAAGGGGTACACACCTGGAATCTCCTCAGCTACATAGGTTGGGATGCCCCGGCACATGCCAGCAATCTTTGTCCCAAATGTACTCAGGTCCTCCACTCTGGTAGGGTTGATAGAGAACATCAATTCCTTGGGAGATGCTCCTTCAGGCCCTTTACCCTAAAGTCGAGTGTGACGAGGAAAGAAAGAAAATTAATGAGTCCTAAGTCCGGGGGCTTGCTGATCTAAAGGGGTACAAGGGCAGTCGGGCATTTCTTGGCTGCCATTTTTTTTTTTCTAACCAAAGTGAAGAGACAATTCTAGCTTTGAATGTCTTGGTATTTTTGAAGTGTCCCAAGGCACTTAGATGGTTTGAAATCTCAGTTGCTCATAGAAACAAATGTCTGAGGCAAAATTTATCCTGAAATGTGGAGCACAACTGCTCTCTTAGATCCTGGGGTAGGGCTAGTGATAACTTCTGAGACTGGAGCTTATTTGCATTCTCTACCTTGTTGGTTATAGATACCAATTTATCACTTAGAGGACTAACTCAGGCATCTGACTGTGAAAAGCATGGATTCCCTCTTCACATCTCCTACAGCTACGGTTGACAGGATACAGGACACTTGATTACATTGGATTTTCAAGCAAGCAACAAATCCTTTTAATGTTAAAAATATCTCAAGCCTTGTCTAGGACATTCTTAGACTTTAAAAAGGATTTCTTCTTATCTTAAAATCCATCTTAACTAGGCAGCCTCTGTGTTTGCTAGTTTTGATAACCTTAACTACCAAAGGAATGTGTCCTTGAGGTACTGGGGGCTTGCACTGAGGTGTGCGGACCTCTGGGCCTGGCACTCAGGGAGGGCAGTGTTTTGCTCCTCCCCACAGAGGCAGCTGTGAGCCACAGAATCTGGTAGAGTGGAAGCTGCCCCGACTCAGGCAGTCACCTAGCATTCTCTACCCCGTGCCGTTTACCACGACAAACACGCTGGCGTGCTGTGCAAAGAAGGAATGGGTATGACTTCATTATTTACTGGAGACCGGAAGACCTCTCACTCCAAATGAAAAGGCTCGCCTTTACCTTTTGCTCCTTGACCAGTGCTTCGAGATCTTGCAGGGAGGGCATGACGTCCTTGTTCATTTTGTGCACAATGCATGATTTCTTGGCAAAGAGTCTGGTTGCAGCAAAACTCTGTTAAAGAAGAGAGAAGGCAGTGAGGCACAGGGAAGTGGAACTCTAAGATCCTAAGGAGCTGGGATGAGTGCTCTGGATCTGGCTGTCCTGCAGTTGTGCCTGTGGTTAACATTTATCACCAATAGTTAGGTGTGAGAAGTAAAGTCGCCTGAGCAACATGGTTGTTGTTACTGGTACTTATGATGCTCATGGACAGCTAGAATTTACATTAAAGGTTTTAATGGCTGGCGAGTACGCCACATGCTAGTACTGTGAGTCTAATACCTACACTGCCATAATCCCATATGGAATTCCAGGAGTCCCAGCCATTATTGTTGTCCACATTGGCCACATTGTGCTGGTTGTTGATGCTCACTGACTGCTGACCACTTCCGGCCACGTTGCCATTATCGTTGATGTTGATATTCTAAAGTGGATAAGAAATGGAAGCTGATTTAAGATCACATTTCTTTGTAAATGCACTTTGGTAACTGATTTCAGAAAATGAGACTTACGTAAGCAAACCCAGGTGCCACGAGGAGCCCGAGCAGGCCGACGAGAACCATCTGAAAACAGAGAACAGGGCCGGTGGTCGCACTGTTCACAGCATCTGCTCCCTCCCTCAGGCTCATCAGAAATGTTTACTAACTTTACCAATGTGCCAAACCATCCATGTTTTCTTCTTCCACCTTGCAGTTTTTAACTACAGAAGAATTTAATAATAATATACAATTGTTGATTTATTATAATTATATTAATATATAGTTTTAGAATTTTGATCTAGACACTGAAAACTGATGAATAAAGCATAAAAGTTGATGCATACAACGTGTAATGGAAGCTCTGAAAACCACATCTTTCAGATGGTTTTCAACTGTGTTTTTTTTTTTTATTTTTATTTTTATTTGATCTGGGATGCTTTTGTCCCAACAAAGCAAATCTCTTATCATTTTCTTAGTAGATTAAGCATTTCTATTATTTTTGTTTTCAGCTTAAGAAAGAGTTAAAATTTGTCTCTTAAATAAGTAGATGTAGAAGAAGTGTCCCAGCACAAAGTTATCTCCTGTAAGCAAGGCAGCTACTGAGGAGCACAGGGCCCTAGATCAGTGGTTCTCATCCTGTGGGGTGTAACCCCTTTGGGGGTTGAACAACCCTTCTGTAGGGGTCGCCTGAGACCATCCGAAAACACAGATATTTACATTACGGTTCATAACAGTAGCAGGATTGCAGTTATGAAGTAGCAATGAGATTAATTTTATGGCCGGGGGTCACCACACCATGAGGAACTGTATTTAAGGGCCGCAGCATCAGGAAGGTTGAGAAATGCTACCCTAGACAAAGGCACACCCCTGCGCAGGGCAGAGCTAGAAGAGAGGTCCAACCCTCTAGCCTGTGTTTGGAGCTCTCCCTGCCTCTATCCAGCCTGTTCTGGGGAGGACACTTCAGAGTTTACATTTATGGTCCCATCATAAGGAGGAGCCCATGGAGTGTGCTGCAATAGGAAGTGTCCGTGTGACTTCAGCCCCCTGCATCCTAGCACTTCAGAGGAAAAACGGAGCTTGCTCCATCCTCAGACACTTCCTCACAGACATGCCTGGACAGGGCCTGAGGATGCTTATTTCTTGTCGGGCCAGTTGACAGCCAAGTGTTGGAGACTGGTTTTGACAACAGGGACCTTCCGGTCTGACCAGAATAGGCCCAGGACTCTTGATAAAGCAGAATCAAAGATCAGACACCTTCTGGAGCCCAGAGACTGCTTGTCCTGAGTAGAATCCCTGAGCAGGTGCTGTGGAAGGCAATTCTACTGCAATTAGCTTGTGCTGGACCCTCCCAGTGCAATTATTCTTCTTTATGGACATAATTGTTAAACGCCATGATTCCATGAGAAGGAAAGAATTATTTCCATTAGGGTAACAGCGCCGTAAGAATCAGACCCTTCTTTCGCCCCTATTAATGGTTTCCAGTTGTATTGAGTTTTAGAGGAAGATAGGACTTACTGTGAACTTCATGTTGTCAGCCGTGTGGTGGAGTGGAGAACAGGCAGGCATGCTTGCAGACATGCAGCCTTCTGGTATTTGTACCTGACCAGCTTTGCTCAAGCTAGGTGTGCTCAGGTGGAGCCCACAGCTTATCTCCCACCCCTTCCTGTATCTGCACAGCAGCTGAGTCCCGGAAGCCTTTAGTTGCCTGGTCAGCACGGTGCTTGGACCGGAGGCAACCTGACTCATCACCTGCTGAAGGTACCTCAGTAAACTCAATGTGATCCGTGATAAGTTCTGCTCCAATCAAAGCCATGGGTGTGGGTATTTTATGCATTGCCACTGTTCAGATTCAAGAAAAGAGTAATCCCTAAAACCAAACACCACACAGATGAGATCTGTGTGCATATCTGCCCTTCCAGATACTGGCTCCTATGGGAATGTGTGAACAGTTTCTCTTCTTTCCCTTGACCTGATCCTATTGTGAGCTTTTCCCAGATCTTTCCTTCCTTACCTCCCCTTTCCTAAGACCCCTAAGCATGCTCAAGTCACATTGGAAGCTTATTATCAAAACCCACGGGTGAGAGGTGGTGGTCTTGGCTGTGAAAAGGACCTCCAAATCAGAAAACTGGTCCTTGTGCCCTGGACAGGTATTTCTTTGAGGAACTGTCTGGCCAGTGCAGCTTTCCACCCAGGTCGGTCACGAGTGGCTTGCACCAAAGCCATCTGGCACCATTCACCCGGGGCTCTCAATGGTTACACCAGCCACTGGGTTAGAGCTCTGGGGGCTGCTGGCAGCGCTTTCTTCCCATCTTCACAGCCAGCAGCTAATCCTTGCTGGTACCTCTCTCCAAGGCCTCTCCACTCCGGCCTTGGCCAGGGCACTCCTTAACTGACTTTTACCAGAGCTGCAGGACCAGCTGGCCTCATCCCAGGCCTCTGATACTACAGTGTGTGCCCTTCATTTTCCCCAGGGTTCTTTTCCCAGAGCATGGGAAGTAAATAGACATTAATCTCCAGAGCTTAGAAACTTTCACTGGCAGATCTTAAGAAAAAGTTCAAGTTTGTTGGAATGGCATCCATGGGAATTCCTAAAGGGGTTCCCAGTTCCCTCAGCTGCCTGTGTCCTGGGTGCCTGGCATACACCAAGGTTCCCACACTGTCATACCATCCAAGGCATCCCATGGGCACTCGGCCTTTTCACACCCTGCTTCTTCTCCTGGACTGTCACTCGGCAAATGCTTTTGTTTTTTAAGCTCCACACCGCTGCTTCTACCAGACCTTCCTCATTTTCTGACTGGAAACTTCCTTCATCGTCTGTGGGTGCTCTCAGAGAACTCTGTCTTCTTATTTGCTTCTAGACAATGACATTTTCACACATTATATTAAAATAAGGGAAGATTGCTCTGAGGAGAGGGGGCAGGGACTGTCACCTGGGAAATTGAGGAAATGCTCAAAGTAGTTTTGAAGGTGAATTAACACTTGATTTTTCCCCCTGTTCTCTTCTACAACTGAAGCTGGTGGTTCAAATTTGATAAAGGGAAAAGTGTGTTCATTAGTACGGATCACAGATTTCTACTGAAAACCTTCTTGTGCCCACAACCTTCCTCTCCTACAAGAGCCAGAGCTTAAGGGTCTGCCTGGTTCCAAATCCTGGCTCACTGTCAATGTCTTCCAGAATGCTGGAATGCCTAGATTAGGACCATCGGGGTGAAAGCGAGCCTGCAGTTTTAATTCATCCTCAAAAGAGTTCAAGTTCATTCTTTAACTGTACAAGGTCAAGAAGCCTGGGGCTGGATGTGGGGAGCTGTGGAGAGGTCTTCCTCTGCCTCAGAGACCGTCACAGCTCTGTGGAGGTCAGGGTGGCTGTGTTGGCCCTGCTTGTAGATTTGGCCTCTGATGGTGATTTGGGGGTACCTGTTCAATTCCCAGCACACATTTTGTGTGTCATGATTTACTAAGGACTCAAGGTGACATGTGGATCAGTGAAATGCTGGTGTGGTAGATGCTCATTATAGGTAATAAACTGATAGTTGATAGAGAGACAGATGGACAAGGATGTTCAGGGTCTCTCTTTTGGATAAGAACAATTTCTATTCACATGACAAATGAGCTAAAAGACCTCTATGTATACATTTTGCACTACATCACGATGTCCTAGATACAAATGGGAATGGAATCTCATTGCATTCATTATTATTCATTATTTTCCAGGCTCACTTTAGCCTCTGTAAGGATTCATTTCTTGAGGGAAATGCTGCCCTTAGGTTGTACCTTGGATTTGAAAATCTGTGTGGAGAGCTGCTGGTTGGAGCTAAAAGCCAGGAGGCCCAGATCTGCTCCCTCCTCCCAGGCTTTCATTTTCCCATGGGGAGAAGAGAAGGAATTCCTCTCACATACAGTATTGTTACTCAACTAGCTTCAAAGCCAGGAGATGTTCTTCCTGTGGTGTGAGTGTAAGGCCACCCAGGGAGATGTCAAATTGGTATCTACCTCCCAACCAGAATGGCACCAGCAACTTAGCAACTCATACAAGTTCATCCCAATGAGCAAAATGGATTAATCAGGAGTTACTTATGGGCAGTGGACGGCAATGCACAAGCACGATCTCCAGAAGTCACCTCTGTAACCATGCTCCTACTTTACATCTGCGTCAGAGTCAGCATAAGTCTGGGCTTGGAGTGCTACCCTATGTTGGGACACCAGAGGTGACAGCAGACTCAGACAACACAAGCCGTGGACAAAGCCAGACTCTGGGAAAGTTGTGTGTTTTAGGGTACTCTAGTATAGCCCTTACTGGGGACTCTCGAGGTCTCAGAAAACACTGTCCCACTGTGGTAAAGATAGTCTGTCTTGTTGCAGTCCAGCATGTAGAACACATAAATGGTAGTTTACTGCATGATGGCATTCCTTTGGTTAGGATTTGGAAGACTGGTCTCACCATTTTCTTTTCTTTTCCTGTATGCACGTGCATGTGCATGTGCATATGCGTGTGCGTGTGCGTGTGCGTGTGCGTGTGCGTGTGTGTGTGTGTACACATGTAAATATGTGCATGTGCTCCCCTCAATTCTGGTCTCCTTTAAGACCTAAATCCACAGGAGCAAGGCTCTTGTTTCTTGTCAGCCTGAGAGCTACACTTTGTGTGGCTTGCATCTCCTCAAGGGAGGAAGGCATGGCAATGCTTTTTGTCACCTCCATGGGCCTTAGACTGACACATACATGATGTTTACAAGGTGCCTTTAAATTCTTTGAGTAGCCGGAGATGGCCAAGCTAGAAACTACAGTGTACATCACATCCATCCATCTCTGGTTTGGGGTATAATCTGGAGAACAGCTGCTGTGTGCTGGCCATGGCGACACAGTGGGGGAGTCTTGGGTGATAGTATGACCTCAGTACCCTAGGGTTAGTGTGAGCAAGTCAGGTCATGGGTAAATAGAGTCTGCCCTGCCTGTGGAGGTTAATGCTGGGCTTTCCCCCAAGCAAGGCCCTATCCTCACTTATCATCCAGTGCACACACACCCATGGCTTCATTTCAGCCCACACCCTGCCACGTGAGACTGAGTGAAAACTCTCTTTGTCTGGAACAATCCAGATGCATTCTGTGTACAGCATGCTCACACATGGAGGAAGAGTTGGAGTTTCACACAGACTCAGGCTTATTGCATGTATTTTTCCCTTCTCTTCGAGGGGAATGTTTACCACCAGGACACATTTCCATTCTTAAATATTCAAGGCTCCCCCTGCTGTGTGAACCAGCTGGTGTTACTAGCAGCCCTGAAGCCTGTAGCTGTCATGTTCTTATTTTCTGGTACTTAGGACGTGTTGCCCAAAATGACAATCCTGTTACGTATTAACTGGGTGAGGAATGGCCCTCATGTAGAAATTCTATCTCTGTCTCCTTGCTCTGATTGTGTCTCTGTGAAGCTGGCTATCAGTCTGATGGATCCTGTTACAGCCCCAAGTTAGCTGTTATTTGAAATCTGCGCACATTTCTTTCTTTAGAAAGAGCTATACTGTGCCTTTGTTTACCCTCTTGTTGCTAAAATTGTAACAGAAGCTCCAGTGCCAACCGCCTTTGTGTTGTAGGATGGTCTACACTCATTGCTCACCCCATTTGTACTTCTGACCAAGAATAACACACCCAGAAAACAGCAACAGGGAAGTATAAAATAATGTTTGAATAATTATTGCTAGAAAGCTTCCAATTCCAGAAGATCCAAACTTATGACATAGTTGTTTTTGTACAGGAGGGAAATTCTTTCCAAATTACAGCAGCGTTGAGGCGGTCTTTCTCGAGCATCTTGAGCTGTTTCCCTCGGGACTGTCACCTTCCAAATACCCACGTCCTGCCTCTCAACTGCCGCTTGTTTAAGTCCATCCAGATGCGTTTGCCAAACCGCCTGCATCCCTGGAAACCTTGAGGCATGTCTCAAGGTAATTGTTACCTGGAGTGTTGGAATGCTGTACACAGGATTTTGGGGCGGGGGGGGGGGAATGCTAAAGAAAGGTCTTCTGAGTAATTTCATCATCTGTATAAAGATAAAGAGAATGTTGGTCAACAGCCTTGTTTTTCACCATTGTGAAAACCAGCCAAAGCTGGCCATGCACTTAATGATTCTGAAAAGAAGTTTCTAGAAAACATGAGATGCCCATGTGAAGAACAGATACTGCAGTGATGAGGGTGTTGTTTGTAACTATCTCTTGGACATTTAGAAACAATATCATGTGGCTCCCTAATCATTCATATTGAAACAGTTTAATGATGACATGTAAAAGAATTCATGAATAAAGTGTGTTCAGTCTTAGCCATCAGGCCTAGAGGAATGAGCTTCTCATTGAAAGATGAGTATCCATTAGGTCTAGAGTACCAGAGCTAGCAGAGCCACAGCCAGAGCCAGGTGCCCCACAGAAATCCACCTTCTACAGTTCCCTAGTGGAGAGTACAAAGTAAAGGACCACAGCCCTTCATGAACAGTGAGACCTGACTCTGTAAGTCAAGGACAGCCCTTCATGAACAGTGAG